CATTTTCGAATTCTCTATAAGCCTCCCATATGTTTGAGCCCAGGCTGACATGCAATCCAACAGCTGTAAGAGCTTGCTCGAATGCATTCCGAACAGTGACAAGTCCTTCCTTTTCACCCATGCGCCCAATGGCAAACTGAACATATTCCAACCATACAGGGACAGCTGAGAGCAAAAGCAAAAAATTACACAATAAATTAATAGGTTATGAAATGTTCTTTTAAAATTTGTGTGTTGCTCTTATGATGAATTTTAATCACATCAGCTTATAAAATAATCAATAAAATTTATATAAAGTTTTACACTCATACATGCAATAACTTTTAATGCTCATTAAAAAAATAAAACAACTCACATTGGTAATCATCAAAAGATTTTTCAAAAAGTTTTTCAATTTTTTTCCTCTCATTTTCATCTGAGGCAAGAGGTATTTCATCATGCAGCCATTCAAGCCATAATTCTGAAATAGAGTTGGAAATTTAATTTACAAAACAAAGATATCCCTATGGCATAGGTAAATTATTTGATAGAGAAAATGATCTTCACAGGTATTCAAGATATATCTACTTCTTAACGTGAGTCAATAGTTGAATACCTTCAGTAAGAGGAAAATGTTTACTCATTTCCTCTCTTGCATCCCTGAGTCTGTGGAGATCACCCAGTTCCCTCAGAGCTTTAATTTTCTCAATGTGATTATCATAAACATAAGGGTTCTGGGATATCTGAAAAAGCATGAACAGTGAGAAATTTTCAAAATGGCAACTGGCTAAATGTAGTTAAATTTCATTAACACATTTTCTTTTAACATGATACAAAAAAAGGCTAATCTGGCTTTATTCAGATAGTATCCTGAAAGAATCTTAACAAATACATTCTATTCAATAGGCCAACGTCTGATAATAAATGTTAGTCCCTTGCAACTCTGGAATTTCCTAAACTACATAAAACATGTGAAACATTTAACATTTTCATTTTCACAAATTTTTAACTTTCAAAATGGGGTCATCCATAAAAGACGTCCACACAAAAGGGGGGGGGGGGGTCAGCAAAAAGGGGATTTAAGTGGACAAAGGGGGGGGGGGGGGGG